TCATTCATCACTTAGAAAGTGCTGGCTATAAGTCAAGTGCTGTGCTAGGTCTAGAGACCCCCCCTCCCAAAAATGTTTATGCTTTAAGAGGCTTGCATTCTACTGGGGTAAACAACATGAGCGTATGCACGTGAGGCAAAGGGGAAAGGAACAAGCATTGATTAGGCACCTACCATGTGCTAAGTGCTAAGCACTTTCTACATATTATTTCATTTGATCGCACAGATAAGCAAACGTGAAATGTCAGTATGTAGAATCAATAAAGGTAATTTTGGAAGTGCATTCACAGCTAGAGGAATAAGGCGAGGTGAGGCTCAAATACCCATAAAGGTTTGTCTTCTTTACAAGTCAGGAAAAGGGAAGAGGGAGGTGTAGTAGGAAAAGCCCTGGGCCCAGCTTCTGGGCCCAGATCCACCTCTAACTACCTGGGTAACCTTGCTTGAATGATTTCTCTCCCTGCTGGATCACAGTTAGTTCATCTGTCAAATGGGAAGAACATTTACCCTGCCTCCTTCACAGGGATACTGGGAGCACCGAATGAGATAGGGATGGGCCAGCCCTTAGCATCACAGGATCTCAAGTTGGATTCTCTTGTGGTCCAGCCGAAGACACCGAGGCCCGGAGAGATTACTTTCCCAAGGTTATTCAGGGAGTGAGTGATGGGTTGGACTGGATGTGGTCTTTTCCGACTCTGAATTCTGTGATTTCATAAATGGCTACACTGGGATTTGAGCTGAGGTCCCTTGACACTGAATCCAGTGTTCTTTCCATTAAAATAAGCTGCCTTGTTTGAAAGCTGTAAGGTGTTCCATGAATATTCCTCTCCAAGAATCATCCCTATACCCCCTCTGTAGCACAGAGGACAAGCGATGGGAGAAGGGGAAAGTAGCACTTCCATACAGACTTATGGACCACCAGCCAGATCTGTTCTCCCCATCCATCTCTCATCCTTTGAGGGCTTTCCCATCGAACCCAAGTCCTTTGTTTCTAAGGGCAATAAATGCTCTTTCCTCTGATCATGCTGCCTCCTATAGATGGCTGTTTCCCAAAAGCACCTCTTGGTGTGGGTCATGCTGTGGTTTATAGAAATGGAGCCCCCTATCCCCACCCCAAACTGGAGCTTGGAGCTATGAACTCTTCCTCTGTTCCTCCTTCCCAGCCCTCCCCACCCCACCCCAGCTGCTGAGACAGTCCCTTGTTCCCAGATGTTTACTTTCCCTGTTTTGTGTGGGTCAGTGGAAAGACCCTGCACTGGGGGCCAGACCTGAGTGCTAGACCAGCTGTGTCACCTCAGGCCAGTGACGTCCTATCTTTGGGACTCAGTTTCCTGCTCTGACAAGTGAGAATAATAATAATGTCTGTCCTGAGAAGGGCTCAGGAAACCTTATAGCAAAGCCAGGTGGTATTGTTATTGATCCAGTACTTTAAGACGGCGAGGTGAAACTCCGATGAGAATGAGCCCTCAAATAGTACATAAGGATCCCTGCAGGCCATGTACTGACTTAGAAAACCACGCACATCTCTCTTTTTTTTTTAATTAATATTACAACACATTAAAACCATCTGGGAACTACTAGGAATTTAATCTGGCTTGGGTGGTGCTCAGGGTGCCTCTGCTTTAGAGGCTCACGTGAGGGGCTCCCTCTGCCCATATGGACTGATCCTCTCCTGGTCTCAGGCTCTTCAGTATAGAAGAAAGCATTCGATCTGGGGTCAGCGTTCCTAAGTCCACAGCTCTGCCCCTTACACTGTGGCCTTGGGCAAGTCACTTTTCTGGGCTTCAGTTTATCTATAAAATGAAAGGATGAGACCATAATACACACACACACACATATACATACGTATGTATAGATGTATATGCATATATGTACATATAACATATTATATTGCAATATTATACATTTAACAATATTATATTATATAATGTATGTAATCTGCAAGGCTCCTTCCAGCTCCAAATAATATGGCTCTTTGTCCATAGATGGTCTTTGTGAGTTGCCTCCACCAAAGATAATCCAGCTTCTGGACAAGAGCGTTTCACATTTAGCCAGGCTGGCCCCCAGATAAAAGACACTTAGTCCCACACATAAAGCCACCATATGTCGGGAAGGACCTTCCCAAACTTGTCCTCCTTATTCGCATAGCATTTCAGAACCCAGGGTCACCATGATGAACCCAGAGGACCCAGACACAAATCCTGATTCTGAGGCTTATGGTCTACATGACTCTGGGCAAGCCACTAACCCTCTTAGCTTCAAGTTTCCTCATCTGTAAAATAAGATGGTTTAGCCACGTCTGTTGTTTTCAAAGTGTGGTCCAGGGATCCCTGGGTGTCCTCAAGGTCCTTTTGGGAGTCCATGAGGTCAAAACTATTTTTATAATAATACTAAGATGTTTTAATTCGTAATATGGTAAATATCAATAGATATAACCCCCATAAACAAAAGCTCTTTGCAAGGGGGGTCTTCAACAATTTGTAAGAGTGCAAAGAGGTCTTGAGACCAAAAGTTTGAGAACAGCTGACTAAATGAGCTGAGAAGTCCCTTCTAATCCCAGATCTATGATGATATGATCTTATGTAATGGGAAGACTTTAGTAAGAAGTGATTTTAAGCCATGATAAAAAAAAATAAGATGGAAAATGTGTTTTTAAAAGTGATAGCAATGGGGCAGCTAGGTAGTGCAGTGGATAGAACACTGGCCCTAGAGTCAGGAGAACCTGAGTTCAAATCCAGCTTCAGACATTTGACGCTTACTAGCTATGTGACCCTGGGCAAGTCACTTAACCCCATTCCCTAGCCAAAAAAAAAAAGTGATAGCAAGTTTCATTTTTCTGAGAACGTTTCCTGCTGGTCTTTATTCATTCAAAAGACATTTATTTGCTAAGACGTCACAGTGTGTGCAGGACTCAAAGGGGTGCTGATGGAGATACAAACTTTATATGAGACATGGTCATGGCCCTCACATAGCTTACAGTCTAATGGAACAATAAGTCATGAAAAAAAGTAGGCATAAACACACATCAAGTTATTTTAGACGCATCAGAGAAGTCTATTCTACAGGACGTGTCTGAGGGAGGACCTCCTCATAGACTGAGGGAAATCAGGGAAGGAAGAGAAAGCAATTAAGTTGGACTTCATAATGATGTTAAAAAAAAGACCTTGCAAAGATTTAAGAACTCTGGTGGATACAGTGAACAGTCCCCACCTCTTGGCAGAGAAGGGATGGACTGGAGGTACAGAATGAGCCATATTTTTTTGGCATTTGAATTGAATGTTAAAGTTTAGGTAACATTAAAATTTAGGAAGACATTGCAGGAATACAGAACAGGGTAGGCCAAAGTACAGAGGAAGAGGAGAATACAGCCCCTCTTCAGGGATCTGAGATCTAGAAGTGGGCAGGACATCAGAAGTCATCCCATCCAACCCTTGCATTCTGTAGATGAAAAAAAACCCAAAATGGTGGAGTGTTGGGTCCAGAGTCACACAGTGGCTTTGTAATAAGTAATTACAGGCAGGGTTTATATATTACCTGCCTTTGAAGGCAGGTCCTCCCACTTCTGATGTACCATGATGCTGCTTCTTATTCTTAACATCCCTCGTGTGGACAACTGATGGCAGCATGACTAATCAATTAGTAAGCATTTATTAAGTGCCAACTATATGCTAAACACGGAAGGGACTTCCTATCTGGGAGCCTTACTGTGCTAGAATGAACAAGGAGTTAACTACCTGACTTGGACTTCCTTAGACAATGTGAGCTGGGGACACCATCTGGGCCCAGGCCCAGTAATCAGACTCCTGCTACACTATTTGCCAGTAGGCTGGGTTTGAGGGGAGGCCAGGGAACTGGGATATTGGAGCCCTAAGCAAATGAAATCGAAGAGGACAAGCAGGGAAGTTTTCCATCCCTCTAGGATTACCAAGTGTCCTTTTCTAAAGAAAATTCCCTGGAGAATGAGAGGGAGTTCTAGAAGAACTCAAACCATAAAGGAGGACACTTTGTTTATTTAATTAACTTAGTGATCATCTTTGCGATTGTGTAACATTAATTGGTTCAGCGGCCATCCCTTGTCCCTATCCTCTTCTTTTTTTTTTTTGGCATAGCCAAGAAGAGCACCATCCTGGGACATAGGGATGTGAGGTCATGAATTTAGAGCTGGAAGAGACCCTCGGAAGCCATTAAGTGTAACCACCTTATTTTACAGATAAGGAAACTGAGTCACATTAGGGTAAAATGATTTCCCCAAGTTCACACAGATAGTAAGGGTCAGAAGAGGGATTTGAACCCAGGCCCTCTGTCTCCAGTCCAAGATCTTCTCATCGCTAATGGTGTGACCATGGATAGGCCATGCTTTTTCTCTGGTCCTCAGTTTTCCCCTCCATGAAGTGAAGCCTTTGGACTACATGAATTCTAAAGGCCTTCCCAGTTCCGATAGGCTGACTGATTTAATTACCACAGATTTAGAGTCACCACATTCCATTTTCAAGGTTTTGGCCTATGGGGTAAAAGAGGAAAACTCAAGCTTTACCTGTTGGTGAATTGGACACCACAGGTGGTCTCTCTGTGACATTTTGATATTAAAAGAAAAATTAGCAATTCAAATCCATTCCCCCCAGCTTTATTCCAATATATGTAACCACTATCTCTTGATTCAGACCATCTGCCCTATCTAGGAAAGGACTGTTAAGGACCATAGCAAAATGCTTGACTAGGGGGTCAGGAAGACCTGAGCTCAAATTCAACCTCAGACATTGACTAACTGTGTGACTTTAGACAAGTCATTTAGCCAGTGTCATCCTCAGTTTCTGTATCTGTAAAGATGGGGATAATATGGCATTATTGTTTCAGGATTGTTTCAGGGATCAAAGGGAATAATATGTGTAAAGTGCTTTTCAAAAATTAAAAATGTTATATGAATATTATGTATTACTTTTCTTTCAGAGATATCAAAGTAATTGAATGCTGCCAACTCACTCAGGTTTTTTTTCCCTTTAACAGGACTGTTCCTTCTTCAATCGGAATGACATCCTCAAGTAAGTAGAATGTTCTCTTGTCCATTCTTTTTTTGGGGGTCATGTCTGTTCATTGGCAGGACATTGGACTTCATACTCACCTGGTACCTGGAAAGCCCTTTCCTTTCCAAGCTGGCAAAAGAGAGAGGATGCTCTTTCTTGGATACAGGGCCAGGAAACATGCAGAACTTCAGACTGCCTCCCTGGCCCTTGATCTGGGGCTGTCTCATAACCATAATAACAAAAACGGCAATTTTAGCTCACAATCACAAAGGGTTTCTTCCCTAACTGATGCTTACAACATCTAGGTGATCCAGGTTAGTGTAATAGTCTTCATTAGTACTAACGTTAGTGTAATACTCTTCTCTCTATTTGACAGATGAGGAAATAGAGGCCCAGAAAAATGAAGGGATTTCCCTAAGGTCATATGGGTAGATGGTGGGATGGGAACCTAAGTCTCAGCTTCCAGTCTAGGGCTCTGTCAGTAATTAACTGTGTGACTTTGGGCTCATGACTTTTGCCCTCTGGTCTCAGTTTCCCCACCTGTAAAATGAGGGGATTGACTTAGATAATCTCTAGATTGACATGGAGAATTTCTAGCTCTGAGCATCTGTTGTTCTATAAAACAGATAGATTTGGTCATGGGAGAGGCTCAAAGTCATTCCAGAAGCACAAAGCAGGGAGAAGAATCTGGATAGAGAGATGAAATTTGTACCTAGTTGGTGGGAGGGATTTTTCAGGGGCCAGAGGGCTTTCTTGGTGTCCCTGAAATCAGCCCTATAAGTAGCCATTATATACATGTATATATATATATATATATATATGTGTGTGTGTGTGTGTGTGTGTGTGTGTGTGTGTGTGTGTATGTGTGATGATATATATATATATCTGTGATGATGTAATAATAAATTATACTTAGAGCTTTAAAGTTCACAAAAGTTTGCATATATTATTTGATCCTTACAAAAACTCTCTTACGCTGTTGCCAGCATTTTTCCTATTTTACAGATGAGGAAACTGAGGCTCAGGGAGGTAACTTGCTTGGACTCACACAACTACTAAGTGTATGCCAGGGCATTTCAATCCAGGTCCTCCTGACCCCTTGCCCCACTTCTGTCCCACTAGACTACCCTCTCCCTAAGCCTAAAATGCAGGTGTTGGCCCACCTGATAATCCTGTAGTTGCATCTCTGGGCTCCGCAGTGTGAGTTCTTCCATCTGTTACTGCCTATCACAGCTTTTCTGTGATTCTAGAACTGATTCCCGTATTTCCCTTTTATTGGTACTTTTCATCTTGACTCCTTTATTATTCCCTCCCCCACTGAACTTTACCCTTTGAAAAAGAAAAGCAATTAAGCAAAAGCACTTTATACAGAGACTATGTGTGTCCTCGTGGGACCCCCCTCCTCTCTTCTGTTTGCTGTGCCTGGAACATTCTGCCCCCTTGCTTCTAGTTTCTGGCTTCCTTGGCTTCCTTCAAGACCCAGCTCAAACCCCCCCCTTCTGGTGGAAGCCTCTCTGAGTTCCCCATTGCTTGTGTCTTCCCTCCTCTTTCACTTGATACACCCTGTATGTACTAGCTTTTTGTATGTTTCCTTCTCCATTCAGGAGAATCTCAGCTCCTTGAAGGCAACTGGGATGGTGTTTTTATCTTACTATAATTGGCACTTATAACAGAACCTGGTATGCAGTAGGCACTTATAAACATTTGCTGACTGGCCGAGGGTGAAATCTGAGGCACACATTCCTCTCCCAAAGTCACTTTTATGTTCAATATTAGTATTTTCCCTTTGATGGGCTTCAAACCTGAAAAATCTAGTTGGGCTTTGGGGATCCTTCCAACTTGAGCACGCCATGAACTTGTCTCAAATTATCGACTCGTTTCTGGGAGGCAGCGTGCATGGTTGAATGGAAAAGGCCCTGGCTCAAGAATTCAAATCCTGCCAATGATGCACTCTGCCTGAGGGACCTCTGGTCTCCAAGGTCCCTTCTAGCTCCAGATCAGTGATCTCAGGGGCTGGATTGAGGGAGGGAGTTTTCACACCAGGAACTCAGTGAAATCACCAACTTGGATCCTCTCGCCCTCTTCTCCCTCAAATGCTAGGGATATGCTCCAAACCTGTTAAAGACCATAGAGTTATGGGATTTAGAGCTGGGGGGGGTGCATAGAGATTATCTGTAGTCCAAACCCCTCATCTCACAGAACTAGAATCTGATGACCAGAGAGGAGAAGGGACTTAATCATAGGAAGTAGGTAGAGTCCCCAGAATTCATTGAGACTCTTCCTGACCATTCATAGAGATCCTGGGGGCTAGAGGAGAGCTGTGCTTTGTATTCATGACTGGCAACTCACCTTCTTTTTGACTGAAGCTGATTTCCAAGTCTGCTGCAAGGGTAAAGCTTGTATCCATCATAAGAGGCTTTACAGAATTGGGAAATAATGGGAAATTTCACCTCGTTTTTTGGCTCCACTGGGTCCCTTTCTGCCAGTAGAGGTATCAGATTGCCCTAAAAGCCAGAAACAGCTATAGAAGCTCTGGGATTTGCTTTCTCTCTGCTGAGGTGGCAAGTGCTGCCTGTGATTTAGCTCAGAACAGCTTTGCCATCGCCAGGTCCTCTCTGCAGTCCAGAAAAGGGGGGCTTTTCTCTGGACTCTGTCCTTCAATGTTGGCTGGTCTTCTCCAAGAAGGCTCTCCAGGAAATTCCCTAGTTCTGCATTCCTTCACAGACACTCCCCACTCCCACAAGTTCCTCATTTCCTCTTGGGGAAGGGGTGGCTCACACCAAAGGGAGGATCAGAGGTCCTAGGCAGGTACGACCTTGAGGCCTCATTTTACAGATGGGGAAATAGCGCCCCAAGGAAGTGGTGTGATGACTTAGCCAAGGTCACACAAGCACTCAGGTTACTCAGAAGCAGGATCTGAACCCAGGCTTTCTAATTCCAAAGTTAGCATGCTTGTACCATGCTACCCTGGGAGAAGTGATCAAGTGAATTGCTTTTATTTACAAACATTTCTCCAACGTTTCTTAGCTTTGGTATCTGCATTTAGCTAGGGAGATTTTTTAAAAAGTTTTATTGGTTTCTTTATTTTTAATACCAATTATTTTTAGATAGACTCACCCTCCCTACGTTAAATCTTTCCTTATGCAGCAAAGAAAGCCAGCTGAGCAAGGCTTGGAGTCTGACAGTGTAGGCAACTTCTTGCTGCCCCATCACTACCAAGAGGAAGACATTCCTCATCTTTTTTCCATGACCCAGACCAATAAATTTCATTAAATAATTAAGTTAATCAAATTCATTTAATCGGAGTTTCTCTACTTTTTCTTTCGTTTTAAAGCAGATTTTATTGATATTTTTTGTTTTTACATCACTGGCATTTCCCCCTCTAACTCTCCCTGTGCCCTGAGAGTATCCCTTTCAGGAGACTTTTAGAGTTATTTTGTGAATAAACTTCACAGTAGCTGTTGGGTAGATCTGGTCATGATGGGCAGCTAGGTGGCACCATAGTGCACAGAATGTCTGGCCGGCAGTCTCGAAGACACATCTTTGTGTGTTTAAATCTAGCTTCAGACACTTACTGGCTGTGTGACCCTGGGCAAGTCACTTAACCCTGCTTGCCTCAGTTTCCTCATCTGTAAAATGAGCTGGAGAAGGAAATGGCCAACCACTCCAGTATCCTTGCCAAGAAAACCCCAAATGGGGTCATGAAGAGTCAGACATGACTTAACAACAAAAATAACAACAGATCTGGTCATACACGTCTCCTAAAGTTTCCTTGAAATTCTTGGTTGTTGAAACTTTCTCTCTTGAGGCTGCCCAGCTTTTCCCTGAAGGCTGCTGAGTAAGACCCTTGATTATATTTCAAGGGCTCATGTTGAAAGGTCAGACTGCGAGGATGGGTTGGCTCATTTGTGAGATGGGTTGGAGATATATGTGATGGGGGAGGGGAGCACCATGAGTATCATCAGTTGTCCTTGAGACCGCCTTCCATGGTTAAGCAAGATTCATAATCTGGGACATTCTTTTCTGGCACTGGATAGAGAGCTTGACCTAGAGTCAGGACAACTTGAGTTCATATCTGGTCTTAGACACTTATTAGTTATATGACTCTGGACAGGTCAATTAACTTGTTTGCTTCAGTTTCCTCATCTGTAAAATGGGGGCAAAAATAGCACCTACCTGCCAGGGTTTTTGTGAGGTAAATGAGATAATAATTGTAAAACATGGCGCTTGGTACTATGTACTGTTACTGTTTTTATCATTAGATACTGTGTAATTAGGCAGCAGCATGTGAGGGAGCCCTAGCTGGCTAGGACTTAGGACTAGTTATCAGCCAGGTGATTCTGCGCTGGGTAGCTTAGTCCAATAGAATGTTCACCCCTTGAGCGCAGGGGCTGTTAAGTTTTTGTCTCTGGGTATGCAATGACAGAGTAGGTGCTTAATCCATGTTTCTGTAGCTGTTGAGGGGAGAACTCTTTTAGTCTGTGGAGAAAGGACTGTATTTCAATGTTGCTACTTAAAAAAATCAATCCTTGTTGAATTTGAAGAAGGCAGCATGATGTAGCAGCCAGAGGGTTGGCATGAGTCATTCACCTCCTGTCTCTGACGTACCAACTGTATGACCCTGAACAAGTCACTTACTCTCTAGTGCACAGGATAAGCTGTGAGGCTATATGTTTCAGAGAAGGTACCAGCAGGTACTTGTAGAGGGAGTTTCTCAAAGTGACGAAATCTTAGGTCTAGATTAAAAAAATAAATAAATAAAAATCAAAAAATCAAAAATCTCTGCTGAATGTGCTTGGAGGATTGGGAATTTGAAATTAGTGGAACTAGAGGAAATAATTCCATTTGATTCACTAAGTATTATGGTTTTGTGCCAAGCATTGTGCCAAACCCTGAGGCTACAAAGGCAAGAAGTGAAACAAGAAGCTTAAGTTCTCTCCAGGAGGAGAGGGAGGGACGCTATAGTACGGGTGGAAGAAGATGCAGTGTACAAAGCAATTTTGAGAGACAGAGAGTGC